GTAAATTATAAATATATTATATATTATATATATATAATATTATAATGTATAATATATATAAAATTATATAATACATTTTAATGAATATTAATTTGAAAAATTCTACAAATGTATTAATTAAAATTAATAAATATAATTAATTTTAATTATTATTATTATTATTATTATTATTATTATTATTATTATTATTTAATACAATTTTAATAATATAAAAAAAAGAAAATAAAATCATAGAAAATGTGTACCATCAACATGCGACCTGTCGAGAGGTAAAACAATCCACGTTTTTCTAGGTCCTTCGAGTTTTTCTCCTTTTTCAATCGATTGTTTGATATCCTCCATATCACCGATAACAACTATCACAGCTTCCGTAACATTATCATCCAATTCTTGTATATCTTGATAATTTTTCACACAAATACCCGAACTTTTGGTTGAATCCAAAAAATAATCCAACACAAAATTCGAATTGGTTAACAACAAATCAATTGATTCAAATCTTGTACTGATATAATGTATCATAATATTGATCAATGGTTTTGTTAAATTTTCTTCTTTGTAAAAAGTAATTGGTAAGACACTAAAATTTGTCAATGGTTCGAGTATATTGTTATAAATAATTGGAACTAGTACACCCATTTCATAATGTTCAATACAATCCATATTAACGGCAGCTTGTACAGTTTGCTTATAAACCGTTGTATTTTCTTGACACGTGTCGAAAATCCTTAATCCTATAAAAAAAAATTATTATCGATTGTGTCTTAATCTTGTCATGTCAATAAAAAAAAATCCTATAATGATGATGATGATGATGATGATGATGATCTTAATCCAATAAAATAATCATTGGTTTACCTAAAGTTAAATCAGACAGGTATTCCAATTTGTTCAAGGTTTGTATTACGAAGATTGCTGTTGACATTTCTTCGTATCCTTTGATCGATGTAATGTTACAAAATGGTCCATCGTTTAGATCGACGAGAACTTTAACATAATGTATGTATTTTTTTTTTTTTTTTTTATATAAATGGTATACATTGAAATTATTTATTATTTATGGAAAAAAAAAAAAACGATATGTTATACCTAGATATATGTTGAAGATATATTATAGTAATTAAAAGAAGTATTTAAATTAATGACCTGACGAGATTAACATAATTATTATATTTAAATTAATAAATAATATTAAATAATTATTAAATAATTATTTAAATTATTATTTTAACTATTATATATATTTTTTTTAATAATAATAATAATAATAATATAAATTAATATAAAAATAAATAATATATTTATATAAATTAATATAAAATAAAATAATAATAAATTAAATAATATAATAAAAATAATATAATTAAAATAATTAAAATAATAATTATAAAAATATTAATATAAATTAATATAAAATAATATATAAAAATAAATAACATATTTATATAAATTAATATAAAATAAAATAATAATAAATTAAATAATATAATAAATTAATATAATTAAAATAATATAAAATAATATTACATTAAAATATTAATACAAATTAAAATATAAAAT